CGTGCAGGACTACCAGGAGAAGATGGAAGACATCAACAAGTGCCTGACGTTCATCAAACAGGGTATTGAGAACCTGCGCAGGTTCGATCTGATCAAGATGAAGAATAGCGCATACAATCAGGACTTTCCTTCACTTACTAGCAAATTCTATGAAGATGGCGCCATGGCAGGAAAGGCGATCCTCGTCAATGCCAATGAGATCATGCGTTTTGTCCAGTTTGCCCATGTAGCAGGTAGCACCGCAGCCAGAGCAGTCCAGATTGCTAGTATGGCAACCGGTGTGCTTACTGGACTCTTTGTAGTTATGGATATCTACTTTGTGTCCAAAGACTCGAAAGAACTCAAGAAAGGGGCAAAATCAGAGTTTGCTGCCAAAATCAGGGAGGTGGCGCAACAGCTGCACGATGGTCTGGTGGAGCTGAACTCAATACATCAAGAGCTGCAGTTCAACTCACCAGAAAAAGACTCTGAGAAGACCACCAAAGATCTGGACAGTGAGAAAAAAGAGAAAGACAACAAAGAAAAGAAAGAGAAGGATGGAAAAGATTTGAACAGTGAAAAGAAGGACAATGACAGCTCAGACGAAGATGAAATCGACCGCATTAAAAAAGCCATCAAAAAGGACCTTGAGAACAGAGAATATGTTTGACACATAACTAGGAAGTTCTTTGAGATTTGCTTCCTAGTTAAGGGTTAAAGGAAAACTCAGTCCGATTCCCAAAAGACAAGCAAATGTTTTGTATTTTACTATCTATGAGGTGGTTGGTGCCAGATTTTTAAAGTAAAACTGCAATCAGGCGTATTTTAATTGTCCAAAAGGAGCCCTTAAAGGTTAAAATATTAAGTTCAATATCTAAACCTGAAATAAAGGATCCGACTTCTTTAAAGATGCATTTGCCTTGATGATATTGGTGTGTTTCAGATAACATCAAGAATGGCTGATTAGTTTTGTATATTTTAATGAAAAGAGCAAATTTTAAAAAAGGTAACTGGATTTTGTACTGCTGCAGCAGCTGTTTGGAAACCCTAGTTTGGACTTTGCTTAAGTTTATAGCTTGTTTCCATCTAGTGGGTCATTCCATAAAAAATGGCTGCCCCATTTACCTTCAGGAATGACTTAGCTGCTCGCAGCGCTTTAAAACAGTCGAACCTCTGTAGAGCTAGAAGCTACTGAGCGTGTACACAGGGACTTACAATCTATAACATGACTTCCAAAGCAAACAATTTTAGAGGTTGTGGTGATATGTTAACTGCCTTTTGTAAATGTGTTGCAGTTACCGTATTTTTCGGACTATAAGGCGCACTTAAAATCCTTTAATTTTCTCAAAAATGCGCCTTATAATCTGGTGCGCCTTATGTATGAATTCTGGTTGATCTTACTGATCTCGAACCGAATTTATGTGGTACACGACGCTCAAAAATGTGTCAAGAAATGTTTTGGTACGACTTTGCTAAGCTACAAAGCCCCACCGCTTGATGGATTGTCGGAGCATTATGGCTACTGTAGTCAGGAGCCTCGCGGAGTGATACGTACTGTGCTTCAACATAATATTGCCGTATTGTGTGTGTGTATAAGGATTTCAAACTCAAGGCTATCAGTCACGCAGTAGAACATGGGAATAGAGCAGCTGCAAGAGAATTCAACATTAATGAATCAATAGTAGGGAAGTGGAGGAAGCAAGAAGAATGAGTTGAGTAAAGTTTGACTTATCTGACTGTTTTGTTTGCTTAATGCGCCTTATAATCCGCTCTGCCTTATGGTCCAAAAAATACGGTATACATATATTAAGAAATGCATTTTCTTCAGTTGGTATTATGGAGTTTAGCACTGATGGAAAACCTTTATTTTAATTTTCTATTTAGCTTTTTGTTGTTGTTGTATTTTGTTTTCCTTCCCAGTATACATAATTGGTAAATAATATATTTCAAATCATGTTTTCATCCAAAACTATATTAACATTAACATAGTTTAGATAGTTAATTAGCAGGTAATTTTATTTGGTTGTCAGTAAACTTCAAGGTTTTAACCAAGCTAAGTTTGAACTTATTAACAGTTGTCCACTTAAACAGTATCAGAAAAGGACTAATCTGAATGAAACTAATTGGTTTGTAGTCATGTTTCCTCTCAGATGATTTAATTTTGTCCAGGAGTAAAACAAACATGAGGGTAAAAACCAAAGTCTGAGTTGCTTTTTCCTGAAAAGATTTGTTTTTATTATTTTTTTTATTATTTCAGGGTTGAGGGTTAATTAGCTGTCTGCACTGGAAGCTCTGATGGTAAAAGCTCTGTGGGCTGTTTTGTAACCGTTAAATAAATGTATATTTTCTGTGCTGGGTGAAGTTGATCGTTTAGTGATGCCTTCTTTGTGCAATATTCTGTTCAATATATGTCCATCCATCCATTTGCTTCCGCTTATCCTTTCTAGGGTCGTGGGGGCGCTGGAGCCTGTCCCAGCTGTCTTGGGGCGAGAGGCAGGGTACACTCTGGACGGGTCGCCAGTCTGTCAACAATGGCAATGATTATTCTGTTACCTTCAAATAAAATGTTACTTGATGTTTATGCTTTTTGTAATTAATCACAGATTTGTCATGGCTGCAACACACACACACACACACACACACACACACACACACACACACACACACACACACACACAGAGCAGATAAATGCATCCCTTAGGTCTTTACTGGATTTTTTTTAAAACTAATTATTGACTTTTAATTACTTCCAAAATATATTTTCTGGTGGCTGTTTTAAATCTAGAAAGTTACCTTTAATTAAATGATCTAAAAGGACAAAGGCTGCAGCCAGTGAATTTCCACTGTTTATTGTTATTATTGTCTCTCTTAATGTATCAGTGTTTGTTTTTCCACCAACAATGATTTTTACTATTTTCTAATTTGCATCTCGTTTAGGATTTAAATACTTACATGACTTCAGTGACGTCATATGAAACTGATAACTCAGAGTCCAAGGCTCCCACAGAGGTAGGTAACCCTCTAACTGAACACGCCCCTTTCCAGGTGACTTTACATCACTGAAACCAGAAAGGAGACAAAGAAATTGCATCATCTACAACAGGGAAAACCAGGTGAAATACAGGAACAGTTACTTCATAAATATTTACTGACTGCAAGAACTCCCCAGATTGAATAACTTTTATTTTCCTGTGAGGATTTAAAGCACAGAAGCTGCTTAGGGCATGTTTTGGTTTGTCCATCCATTCTCTTCCGCTTATCCTTGTCAGGGTCACGGGAGGGATGGAGCCTATCCCAGCTACCATCGGGTGAGAGCCAGGGTACACCCTGGACAGGTCACCAGTCTATTGCAGGGTTGTGAGGATTTGAGGTACAGAAGCTACTAAGGGTGTGTTTTGGTTTGTTTAATATATATATAAATTTTTCTCAATCAGCGAACAATCTTATCTTTGGGTGGTGTCGAAATACTTGGGCTTACTGAATGAGACAGGCAGATAGCATGCATGAGCACATACTCAGCACAAGCTGAGGCTAGATCCACCGCACCAGGCAAGACCCAAGGTGCAGGCTGTGTAAAGATGTCTGTCAGACTATCCAGCACATAACAGCAGGGTGCAAGATGCCCGCAGGCAGGACATAGATGGAACGCCATAACCAGGTACAGAATACAGAAAAATGTGTGCTGAGTATGACCTGAAAGTCCCGAGGTCAAAATGGGAGATGCCCGAGCAAGATCCTGTGGCACTTCCAGATAGACGGACAAAATGGTGATGGCTAACCAACTGCACATAGTAAGTGGTGGACAAGCAGGGGAAGACTGCAGTAGTGATAGACCTAGCGATACTGAATGACAGCAACATCAGGAAGAAGGAACACGAAAAGCTTGAGAAATACCAAGGGCTCAGAGAAGAGCTCAAGAAGATGTGGCGGGTGAAGGTAACAGTGGTCCCAGTGGTAATCAGAGCACTAGGTGGTGACTCCCAAGCTAGGCGGAGTGGCTCCAGCAGATCCCAGGAACAACATCTGAGATCTGTCCAGAAGAGCGCAGTCTTAGGAACAGCTAACATACTGCACAGGACCCTCAAACTCACAGGCCTCTGGTAGGGGACCTGAGCTTGAAGGATAAAGACCGCCCGCAGGGGCGAGCGGGGAATTTCTATATTTAATTTATATATAAAATACAATATATATGTAACACACACATATATACAGTGCTTAACAAATTTATTAGAATAACACCTAGTGTAAGGTTTACCTGCCCTACATTAACAGCATTGGCAATTACCAAAATATTTTTTATGCTTAATCAATTCCTTACTTGGATGATTCTGAAAATTCCACGTGCAGATGAGCAGAATCAGCTTTGTGGTGTTTTTGCAATAGTTAACGAACCACTATGGACAAGCTCTCAAATCCAAATTTCATTTTAATGCTAAAACATAATTATTATTATTTTTGACCATGAGTTTTCAAATGTACAGTTTTACCAAAAAAAAGCATGTTGTTATCTTTTGAACAAGTTTCCAAATTACAGATGTTTATTTGAATTCATTAACAAAAATGTAGTTTTAGTGAAAGTAGAGTGTTATGCTTGAGTCATAAAGCATTATATTACAAAGATTGTTGAAATCATGGAGAGTTTTGTAACACTTTTTATGTTATAACATAAATGACATATACACACACATAGACAGTAAAGTAAAATAGACAAACATG